CCGCACTCGAGCTGTGCCGCCGCTGGGGCGGCGCCGCATTCAGCTCACACAGTGCCGCCGCCAGGGGTGGCAGGGCAGCGCCCGTGTGTGAGGGGGTGTTCTGGGATAGCGGGGGGAACGGGGGGTTTCGCGGTACACGACGGTGCGGGGTAAGGATAGGGACAGGCTGCGGTGGGGTGTTGGGGAGCAGGACACACAGCGGGAGTGGGGGGAAGGGGTGCGGTGGATATAGGAACAGCAGGAGTGAGTGTGAAGCGGGTCCTACACTCCCTGCCCCAGGAAGCGAGGCGGGGGAGGAGGGGGCGGCTCCCAGAGGGAGCGGGGCGGATCCCCTGCTCTCTGCTCCGGGAAGCGGGGTGGGGGCTGGCACTGAGGAGTGTGCCTGGAGGGGAGTGGGTCGACGTGGAAGAACCGGTTTTGCGAGGTCAGAGTTAGATACATTAGCATTTGAATACTGGGGTAGATAAGATATATTATAGCAATGGGGGTTGGAGAGAGAGTTTTTAAAGTGAGAAGACTTTTTTTCTACAGTTTTAGCTATAATGTGAAACAAGGGAATAAAACGCGTGACAGAAATCTGCGTTAGCTTGACATGCATAAATCCTGGCTCCAACACTATCCCAGAAAGAGTTGAGATGAATAGGATATCCGTTAAAGTCAGTAAAATTCTCAGAGAACCAGTGAACAAATGCTTTTAGGTTAGTCTAGAGAGATTCCCTTCAGAGAACTTGTTAGGAGATAGGAATTGTAGAATTTGGGAATATACGTCTCTCTCAGTACGAGAATTATGAAATTTTCCTAATTTTAACCCCATACATAACATACAAAAGGTTACGTCTCGATCCCAGCCCAGCAGAAATAAGAGAAAAAAAACCCCAAAAATACCCAAAAGAAATAAAGTAGCGCTCAGAAAAGGCTAAGTTAACTCACAACTCTCATTTTCGTCGGGTCAAAATTAAACTTCTGGGTGGGGTGTCAGCTTTTTGTTCTAGTCCTCAGGGCTTCTTCTCCTAGATGTGAGGGTGTTAGAACTGCCCCTTCAGATACTCCCTGTTAGAAAAGAGGGTGTCTTTGAAGGAGTGACGAATCCAAATAGCATTTTCTGTCCCGAGGCTGTGTGTCGCTGTTGGACATGAAATAAAGAGCGTGGATTGTATGCAACAGGCAGAGCGCGAATCATCAGAAGGTTTATTTTCCGAACTTTTCAGCTTCTTTATGGGGTGTTATGATACACATTTAACATGACTGGTAAAGGGACCACCACCTCTCTCGTCCCATTGGTGGAACAAGAGAAAAACACTCAGCACAGCTGTACAGAATTGTTTTGAGAAAAAATGAAGTTATTTACAAAACTGGTCCTTGAGAAAAAATGTTCTCAAGAGACTTTCCCTTGGGAACAGACCAGCCACTGACAGGCTGGGAACTCTCTCAGAAAATCAGGTCCACAGCTGTACTCTGTGGAGACAACGCTCTGATCCCCTGGGCTTCAGGTGGAGGTTCCAGGAGCTGTTCTGGTGCCACATTGTTGCAGGCTGGGTCCTGGGGGCCTGTCTGACCCCCAGCTTCTGCTGACAACAAGGCCAGATAAACATCCTGGGGGAGAGCCACCATCCGGGGTTTCCTGGCAGTCTCCAGCCAGGGGTAACCTTTAGGGGCATGGGCAGGGGTTTTAGGTGACCAGCTCTTTCAGCAGCATTTTCTGCTCTGTGATCAGCTCTGTTCAGCCTAGCCAGCTCCTTTCATGGTCCCCCTGCCGACGCAGACAAGAGACGGAAAGACCATATAACATTCTGCAGAGTCTTTAATGCAGGCTTCTGTGAAGGGGGCCAGTGATGGTCTAACCCTGAACTGGGTAAAAGCTGGGGTTTTTATAGGGAAGGGGAGGGTTGGGAAGGGGACCAATGGTCTGAGAGGGGATAAGTTGACCAATAGTTAACAGGGAGATAACATGGGCTCCTGAAGCAGGAAGGGGTCCACAGCTTAGTCACGATGACTAGGCAGTTTTATCTTATCTTAGGGGACAGATCTCCAGGGAGGATGCCTGTCGGAGGACTGGGCCTCCTCCACGGTACCTCACACTAGAGAAGGTGGGTGTCTCATTTGAAACACACCACTTTCTCTTTTCAAAGATCTTTCTCAAAGCCTTGTGGACTGTATGCTTCTGCTCTCACCAAGGAGCTGCAGAAATATCCAACTGTGCAATCTCCTCTCCCTCTCCATCTTCCTGGGAGAATGATGGGCAAGTAATTCCAATAAAGCTGCTCTTGTGCTTAGGTGATCAGGCTCTATATGAGAGAGACCTCTCTATATCTTCGTGAGACCAAAGAGCCGAATGAAGGTTCATGCTCCTGAGACTCAGGAATTTACCTTTCAGCCTCCTAAACTTATCCCTGGAAGAGACCTGCTTTTTCACTTGGAGATTGTGGTGTGCAGAATGAAAACTTCTAATTGTTAGAATAGTCATTCCACAGACTTTCACTGAGTTATGAATCCCTCTCCCTAAGTCAAGATGCTTCTCCCAATTCTCTCTCCCCAGCACAACAGAACTATTTGCTTCAGTAAATCCCTTGACTGCATTGTCTGTTCTGTGGCCCCTACTGTACCATGCCTGAACTGTTCAAGGTCTTCCATGAATTTTCTTTGTGCTGCGCACAACAGTTAGAGAAAATTGATACTTAGAAAATTTATACTGAGTAAACATTAAAACAACTGAGGCTTATAGAGCACAGTGAGGGAACATTGCCAGTGCTGTCCTGGCTCCCCATGTAGGATGTCCTACCTATGGGAAGCTGCAGCTGCTATTCCATCTTACCTTAGCTTTCTGAACAAGGGTGGAGAGGAAGCAAGAAGAAAGAGACATTTTGATAGCGATTGCAACATGTAGTGATAGGCAAATTCCCTCTCCCTGTCCTGTGACAAGCATGGTGTAGGTCACAAAGTGCTGCAATCTTTACCAGGGGGTTTTGGGCTGTTTTAAAAAAAATGTTATCTTTGCTGTCTTATCTTCCTCCTTCACTGAACAGGGACTGACTAATTAGCAGTGGCTCAGCGGCAGATGCTATTGTGAAAAGGGTTGGATGGTGATTTAACTGGGAATAAAATTGTCTTAAAGGTCCAGGCAGACATTTTCAGGCTGTGTTGGCTGGTGCATGAAAACAGCCCACACAGTCATGAAGGGTAAACCCCTTTGCATGTAAATGGCTTCTCCTCTTCCAAGATGATACCTATGTCCTTCTAGTTGCATACTGCATTAGTCCTCACTGGTGTATTAAAAGCAATGATGGTGTTGACTGATCTACCTACTCAAATTTTCTACCAGGAGAATATAACGCCAGAGCTAATGGTAGTTTGTTACCTGTCACTCCTACAAAGACAATTAGCAAACAATCAACATTAGTTGTTTTCTTCTCAGTCTGAAATCATATTAAATTGTATTAGTCATGTAAAAAGCTATATTGTTTTGAAATAAATATTTATCAATATATCTTATGTGGTTTATTTTTAGTCTGCTGATATGTTTGACTGCTATCTCATATGACTGTGACATTTGTAAACAGAGCAAGGAGGGTGTGTCACTGCTCTTTAGGTTGGTATTTTTCTGTTAATTGTTATCAGATCATGATATTCACTTATTGAACCCTTAAATCTAATTTTAACAATGCAGACAGGAGAGCTATAACTTGAGTTCTTGTGGTTATCTGCTCTTTCAGTTGTTTTTAGTTTGTTTTGCAGAGGAATGATTCAAGTGTGTAAATGAAGAAGGACTAGTGCTATTTGAGGTGCCTGAACTTCAGTTATTGCTGTAGAGGAGCAGTGGCCTTCCAAGTGTCCTGTGCCATTATCACAGCCCAGTGAAGACCTGCTAGATGCCCAGAAGTGGCTAAATTGTGTTGGACATCTTGTAAGGCAATGTCCCTCACCCTAGGTTTCTGCCAGCTGTTTCCTGTGGGTGTCACCAGGGAGATACCTTCAGCACCCAGCCATCTGCTGATGCCTTGTGAGGAGATCCTCATGCCTCCCACTGAGCAGGCACAGACTCAATCCTCTCAGCTACTCCCCAGCTACTGGATCACTCACTGCAAGCTTGGTGATTTGGGCATCCTACAGAGAATGATGTACAAAGGGATTTCATTCTCTCTGATACTATTCAGGAAAGCTTCCTCACATGTATGAGAAAATACAGTGGTCTTGCCAGCAGAAGTAGGGAAGAGACTAGAAGTGTTAGGTTAAAACTGCCATGCTTTGATGTGTAATGAATTTGGCTTTTTATACATAACTGAAATATATCTATGTAAGTCAGATGTACCCATTGGTTGGAGACTCCTAGAGCTATCCAGCAGAAGAACAGTGAGCAGTTTGGAGGCACAGGAGCTTCAGTGACAGTGGGCTGTGGGAGGCCATTGTAACACCCAAGAAAGCAGTTTGGCCTCTTGCATTCCTCCTTGTTTCTAATGATAAACTGTAGAGAGAGACTTACTGCAGTACTTTCTCATACTGAACTGTTTTTCTCCAATGTAACTTTTGCAGCTGTCACAGGAGTGGAATGAGTTTTGAGTCTGGGGGATGTGTTCTTTGAGGTGATGTTCAGGAGTTAGGCTGGAATTTAATACACCAAACAAGTGGCTGAGGCCACCAGTAGGGACATTTGGGCAGTCATCACACAGCACTGGACATAGTGTGAAATTCTGTCAGGCCTCTCTGAAGGACACAGGTCTGGCAATGCAGCATGGATATCTCATTTAGGTACTTCTCACCAGTGGCGCCCAGGAGAAAGACAAGAGCTGCCTTGGTAGTACATGTCCTAGGTATGGGACTGCTGCCTTCTGCTTGTGCCACTGTATCACAGCTGGGGAGTCGGTGGGATGCAGAGATCCTGCACCTCTCCCTAGCTGCAATTCTGATTTCTGCTTTGAGCCTTTAGCAAGGCTGTTGTGAGTGAAAATCAGCTCTTTGGGGCAATGCAGAGGAAAGAGAGATGGGGCTTCGTATCTGATCTCTTGGAGGCTTTTAATCCAGCTCTTTGCCCCAAGAAATCTGTAATCAAATGCCAAGGGGTTTACAGAAAAACTGACCTTTTATGCCCTTTTAGATCAGGGGGGTTCCAAGGAGATTACCAATGAGAAACATAAACTTAACATGAAATGAGAAACACGCTGGGGACAGGTGGCTCCTAAAAACTCTCTTCCCTCCACAGAGGGATGGGTCTACCGTGGGCTGGCTCACTGTTCTCCACACCACTGCTCACAGGTGCTATTCCGGGCACATCCTTTCAGGCTGCAGGGTGGTGCAAAACAGTGGGCTGTTCCATGTATGGCCAGGCTTCCCAGGAAACAAATTTAACTGACTAACAAATTTAATTTGGTGGTGTTTCCAAAATAAATCAAGGGATCTGTCCTCACTCATCTCTATTTTCATCCTGCCACAGATTGCCACACACCTTCTCAGCTCTTGTGAGCCACCCAGATGTGTCATCCAGACTGTGCTGTATCAGAGCAAGTGCTTAATGTGCCTTTTCTAACCTGGCTGATTTTGGTAAAAATCTGCCCTTATGCTGTTGCAGGAAGGTTTAAGTTCCTAAATCCCTTTGTCTGCTTCAAAAAATCATAAGCTGCAGAAGAAGATAACTTAGTAGATGCAACTGCCAGTTATGGAGAATGAATGAAAAAACCCCAAAGAAATGTCAATGATTCAGACAGTTTGTTGCCTAGGAGAGGAGGATTTTTGGGATGCCAGAGTTCCTGCTGCATTAAAGATATGCAATGGCAGACCAGCAAGGCAAGAGAGAGACAGAGGGCCTTGTCACTGTGTCATATTGATGACTTGTTTCTTACCTCAGCTGGGGTGAGTGGATGGTGTCTGTCACCTTTGCTTGACAAACTCCTGGTCACCAAACAACAATGTGATAGTTAAAACCCTTCAGAATTATTTTACCTGGCATGCATTTGCCCGTGTTTATTGTAATTTTTTTAAACAGAAGTGCTTAGGTAGTCTCTTATTTCAGGAAGGAATTCCTCCAGTGTTCCAGCCTGTATGAGATCGGGGAACTGCTTGGAGGCACCTGTGCCAGCAGGGGGATGTGTGCTTGTCTTGCTCTTGGTTTATAGGGCATCCTGACTGGTCCTCCTGCAGTTCCAGCCAAGCTGAGAATGGTAGGAAGAGCCACACTCTGAGAAATGGAGACTTTAAAATTCATGTCAGTGCCATCATTCAGCTCTGCGTAGCTAAAGATAAATGCTAATTGTCAAGGCCTTTCTCAGTATGAATGGGCATACATCAACTCCTGAAAAATGCACTTGCCAATTTAGTTAAAAAATAAACAAATCAATTCTTGGGCTTTTGAGCATTTAAGATTCCTCAAGTAAGCAATAGATTTTTTCGAAGAAAAAACTTATTAGGAGGCAATCCAGTGAGTCCCATTAGGAATAGTAGAAGCACTTGGAGACCCAGACTCAAATCTTAGTTTTGCCATAATTTCCCAATATATTCCTAAATAAAACCAACTAAATAATTTGTTAGACCAGAATTATCTTTCAGTGTATTCTCAGGATACCTTTCCAATAAACCCAAAATGATGACAGGGTTTGTTGAGGTTTGTTAAAGCAGGAATAAAATTCACCTTGCTGATGGGGTAAAATGATAACTAACTAGACAAAATGCTTTTGTAATGGTTTTGCACCTGTGGAAAGGCATGTGCTGCTAGTTCACTGGTTCTCTGAAATCACAGAGGAGAATAGTATGTCTGGAAAAAAGCAGTTGCTGAAATAACCCTGTAGTGCACCTACATTGATTGAGTGAAAGGATGATACTATCCTCATAATATTTTTTTATCTGTCTGCAATGAAATGAGAAGGCTGATGGAGAGGCACTGCCTGATAAGCACTCCTGCTGTACAGTTAGATTTTGGTTGCTGGAGGTGGAGTCCCACTCTACGAGATTTAAATGGATACTGGAAGAAAAGAATAGGAAGGTCCCAAACAGAGGCACTAATTTTCACATAATCAAACAAAACACGAGATATACCCCCTGAGCTGCAGAGTGCTAGTTCCTTCCCCTGACTCCTCCTTCCTAGTTTTTCCCTGTTGGTTGTAACATGTAACTCTTCCCCCTCTCCCTCACTTCAAAAGGCAGCGCGGGATCAGACTCTTCCTCTTTTCTGCACTGGATTTCCCTGAATAAAGCTGGGACACCATCCCAGGACGAAGAGAGCCTCGTTTTTATTCCTCTAGTTCTCGCTGTTAGTATCTTCCTCCTCTCTCTCTGGGCAGCGGCTGGGTGGACTGCAGTCACAGGGAGGCTGGGGAACATATAATAGCAGTTGGTGCCCCGTGTGAGGAGTCCTTTTGGAGCTCCCTACGAATGACTGGAAATCCACGAGTAGGATTCGTAAGTCTTATCGAGGATAATCAATTACCTTGCGAGAGACACGCTGTTTCTATACAGCTGTAAGTTCACAAGGGAGGAGTCGATAGCCCTTTGAATCATCAGAGGGTTGGCTCCAGAATGGAGGGGACCTTCTTTGCACTGCCAAGAACACCAGGAGACACAAGGAACGGTAAGCATGCAAGCGGGCGAGCGACCGTGCTGCCAGCGAGTGTCACCGCAGGCGAGCGTGCAGACAGCCAGAAGTGGTGTGGTGCAGTGGCCCCCACTCAGCGGTGGAGTGGCTCCGAGCGTGGTCCACGGAGGTGGTGCATGCAGTGGCGGGGGGGGCCCGCGTGGCGCGAGCAGCGGGTGGCGTGGAGACGCGTGGCTGCGGCACGAGGTTTCCTGGCGCGGCGTGTGGGCGCCACATGGGACATCCGCTTGGCAGAGGCGCGTGGGCGCTGCGTGGGGGCCACGTGACCTGGCAGCTTGGCGCAGGGGAGGGGCAGCAGCACTTCACCCCCTCATGGCCTCGGCCATGTGTTCTTTAGTGGCTCAGCAGAAGCGGCTGCGGCTGGGTTTAGCAGTTTGTGTCTTACTCCAGTGTGTGGGGAGGGAGCCTAACTGAGCGAAGCCTGCCACTGCTGGCTTTGTTGCTTTTGTGGTGAAAGAATATAAAAATGAGTTTTGCTAACAGCTTTTTAACAGCAGAAATGGGATCACAGCTGTCTGCACCCCAAAAGAATTTTGAATCCAAATGACAAGATTTCTTAAGTACCACAGATGTTAAGATTTCTAGAAACAAGTTGAAACATTTTATCTCATGGCTGTCTCATAACTTCCCACAGTTTGACGTGCTAGATGTAGATTCTATCCCTGAATGAGATAGGATTGGAAACTTGTTAACCCTTAAAGTAGAGGAGGGAAACAGATCTGCTTCAAAATATCTCCCATTTTTATTTTTAATTTGCAAAGAACTGAGAACTTAACAGAGAAAGACAAGTGAAGAGGGAGCCACCGCAGTTTCTATTGGTTTCCCCTAACCCTTCTTCCAAACTCTGGTCCTGAGTTGAAAAAGACACATGGAACAGACCAAGAAACACAGGAAATGCACCTTGACAATGCCATTCTTGGTTCCATGTGTCTCCTTCAGCCCCCTATCCCTGATAGTGCTGTGCAGACTATCAGGGGTCTTTCCCTGTACCCTCCTATCCCTACTGTTAAAGGCAATGAACCCCCCTATCCCCACCTGGCTGGATGGTGCTGGCCGTGTGCCAGCAGGCCACATGGGGGGACCTCCATCGTACTTCCCCTTCCCCTAACCCCTTCTGCCCACCTGTCCCCACCCACGACCCCTTCCTTCCCTTGGACATTCCTCCCCCCTCCACCATGCTCCCACCCTGTGTGACGTCACCCTGCCACCCTGACTCCAGATGTTGCAATCCCCGTTCCCATGCCCCCTCCCCCTGTTCCCACAGGGGGGTGGGGGTGGGAGAGATGGCCCTGCCCCCTGCTGCTGCAGTGGACAGGGCGAGGGGTGTCCCCTCGGCCCTGACCTGGTGGCAGGGCGGGGCCCCCTGGGCCCGGTGGGGGTGGGTGGGGAAACCCAGGAGATATAGGCCCTGGGGAAGATGAAGATACGCTTTCAGCTGCTCCTGTAATATACACTGGTAAAAGAAGAATTAAAGTACATTACCAACCCTTCTCTTACCAAAATATAAACAAGATTTGCAAGGTACAAAGGGAATTTGGTAGAGATAGTGAAGTACTGAAAGGGATGATAAGGGCTACATTAAGATCTCAGGATTTAGTTCCCGCTCATCTCAAGGACCTATTCTGGTGTCTCTTAACTCCCTCCAAGTTTGATCTTTGGGAAAGCTTATGGAAAAAGTCCTTAAAAAACCACCTAGAGGAGCTTAAGCAAAACACTCAGGATGCACAAGATGCAGAGAATAATGAAATCACTTTAGAACATCTATGCGGGGAGGGAGTGTGGGATAAAACTGAAGACCAAGTGCAGGTACTAACAAAATCTATTGCAGATAAGACCTGTGATGTAGCAGAAAAGATTTTTAGCCAATTACCAACAGTTGAAACTCAAGTCAGCTATGTTAATATTAAACAGCTTCCATCAGAAAGTTTTTTTGCAGTTGACCAGGTTCAAGTGCAAATAGAGAGGCAGGTGGAAGAACCAGTGGCCCAGATGGAACTAATTAAGGAGATGGCTCAGAGGAATGTCAATGAGGCCTGCTGCAGAGTGATCCTGGGACTGCCCATTAATCCTCTACCCACTATAGCAGAGATGATATAGGAGCATGTGCCAAGAAAGCAGATCTGTACAGTGAACATGACAAGAAGCCAGGACTGACAAATCCAAGGACTGTGGCAGCAGCAGCACCGGGAATGAACAAGCCACAGATGCCATGAGAACAGCTCCAGCATATCATCTTCTTCCAGTGCAAGAGGCCAGGACATTTCGCCAGACTGCCCTCAAAGCCAGCACCAAAAGGAACACCAAAAAGAAGCTGCAGCCAATAAACAAAAAAAACCAGAAATGAAGCACTTTCCCTTCCAGTGCAAAGACACAAATGAAGTGGGACAAAAAATAAAAAAATCCTCTATTTTAATTGAAAAGGCGGAGAAAGGGAAGCAGGGCGTGGGACTGCAGAAAAATAATTGTGGGGAATTCATACCTAACAAGATCTGGCAGCCTCAAAAGAAATCCAGACTTGTAACTGCTGAAGCTTTTCTTTTCAGGTCTACTCATTGGGCAGTCATTAGAGTGGACCTGCAGGACAATTCACAAGACATGGCAGGACTGGATAGTAGGTATTTTGTTGTTGGGGACACAGAACACACACCCAAGGTGGCTCCCATGACAATTAAGGGAGACCTAACATACCTCACTCTCTTGGCATGTTGCCCTCAGCCACCTTGCTATTTGATCAAGGGCCAAATCATAGCTTAGGTGATCCCTATTCCAGCAGAGGTCCCAGTAGATGACAAAGCAGCAGGAGTCTACTGGGCAGAAGTGGTTGGCGAGGATAGACCCATAATGGAATGCAACCTAACCCATGGATCAGATCATCTCCATGTGGAAGGGTTGATTGGCACAGGGGCAGATGTGACAATCATACCCAAAAGGGTGTGGCCTTCACACTGGGACTTGCAACCCCTGGCGGGCAAACTACAAGGTGTTGGAGAGGTAAAATTGGAAAAAATCTCTAAGAATGTTGTTCAGATCAAGGGCCCGGACAGAAGACTGGCTAGTGTCCGTCCATTTGTCACTGACTACAAGTATCCCCTGTGAGGGAGAGACATGATGTCCCAGTGGGGAGTCAAACTAACAATTCCTGAGACTCCTCAGGGTTTTCAGGGGGGTCACTGTTGAGCGCCCCACCCAAAAGTTAGCGTGGCTGGATGATAATCCAGTCTGGGTAAATCAGTGGCCACTCAGTGTTGCCTTCTGTGAGGCAGATGGCCTGGTTCAGGAATGGCATGGTGACCAATCCCAGGTCACTCGGTCCATCTGCACGCAACACCAATGTGGTAGACGGCAAAATGGCATTTATTGGTGAAGAGTTTGACACTTTATAACCTGGGTTCACAGTGTCACTCCCATCTGCTTTCATCACAGCTAGGTGCTATTGGCTAATTATAGGGGTAATTACCATAAACCATTGAGGAGGGGCGTGACTCTATCTTTCCGTACATCATGATATCTTCTGACCGCTGGACCCTAGCTGCCCACAACTCAGTAAGCAAAAGCTCTGGGCACTCAAAGAGCTTGTGGAGGAGCAATTAGCCAAAGGCTACATAGAAGAAATGCCAGCCCTTTGAATTCCCCAGTCTTTGTAATAAAGGAGCCAGGGAAGGATAAGTGGCGCCTCCTTCAGGATTTGAGGGAGATAAACAAGAAAATTGAGGACATGGTGTCACTCCAACCTGGGATGCCCTCTCCAACAATGCTCCCACAAAATTGACAATTGGCAGTCTTAGACATCAAAGACTGTTTCTTCCAAATTCCCCTACACCCAGCAGATACTCCACGGTTTGCCTTCTCAGTCTCCACAGTTAACCAGCAGGCCCCAAAGAAACAATACCACTGGAGAGTATTACCTCAGGGGATGAAGGCTAGTCCCTTTAACTGCCAGTGGTATGTAGCGTCATTATTATCCCCTGTTCACGGTGAAAAAGGAGAAGCCATCATCTTACACTACATGGATGATGTGCTTGTGTTCTGCCCCAATGACACTATACCCCAAAACATACTTGACCTAGTGGTTAAAGTTCTAACCTCTGTTGGATTCCAACTGCAAGAAGACAAAGTTCAAAGGATGTCACTTTGGAAATACCTAGGCTGGAGATCACCATGCAGACTGTGGTTCTGCAGAAATTGGAAATTGTTGGTGATCCCCAAACCCTAGGAGATCTTTCCATGTGCAGGTCCTTGAACTGGGTTAGACTTTGGCTAGGTCTCACTAATGAACACTTGAGTCCCCTGCTCAATTTATTGAAGGGGGAGATAGAGCTGCTTTCTCCCAGGGAACTGACTCCAGAAGCAAAAACCACTATTGAAAATGCACAAAGGGCCTTAAGAGAAAGGCACATTGCTTCAAGCCGGAGCTGCCTTTCAAATTTAT